CCGCGCCCGCCTGGCCCGGGCAGCAGTAGGCCAGGGCCCCTGGGGGATCTGGCCATCGCTGCGGGCTTGCTGAAGAGGCTGTGTGATCTGGGAGTGGCGCCTGCGCCGCCTCGCTCTGACCGTGCTGTTCTCTGCCCTCCCTGGCTTGGCAGGTGATGCAGCACGTGTGGGTGGAGGGCAACTCGCCCACCAAGTGCGACCGCTGCCACAAGAGCATCAAGTGCTACCAGGGCCTGACCGGCCTGCACTGCGTGTGGTGCCAGATCACAGTGAGTACTCCGCTGGTGCACATCAGTAATAATCAGAATCAGAATCATAACTCCTTACACTTCTATAGCGCTTTTCTGGACACCTCACTCAAAGCACTTTACAGGTAATGGGGATCCCCTCCACCCCCACCAGTGTGCACCCCCACCTGGGTGATGATGATTTGTCCTGGACCCCGGGGTAACACACCTACTCTTTTCATGAAACACGCTGGGATTTTTAATGACCACTGAGAGTCAGGACCTCAGTTTTACATCTCATCTGAAGGACGGTGCCTTTTTACAGTATAGTGTCCCCATTACTATACTGGGATATTAGGACTCACGCAGGGTGAGCGCCCCCTACTGGACCATTGACACCTTTTCTAGCAGCAACCTCAGCTTTTCCAGGAGGTCTCCCATCCAGGTACTGACCAGGCTCAACCCTGCTGAGCTTCAGTGGGCTGCCAGCTGTGAGCTGCAGGGTGATATAGCTGCTGGCACCATTTGACTATTAGTCATCGTCCTTCATATGAGATCTCGATCCCACGGCTCTGTTTATGCAAGAGCAGGGCATAATCCCGGAGGTCCTGGCTAAACTTCACTCTGGGCTCCGAAGCTCCCCTGGGATCCACCCGGTGCAGCATTTTCTCTCTCCTGCCCCTGACCTCCGGTGCGGCAGGGCTGCCGGTGCAGAAGAGCAGCCATGTGTCACCCAGGTGGGGCAGCTCTTCAGTGGCACATTGGCGCTGTGAGATCCATTAGGAATTTTTTTTTTAAAAACAATGTGATACTGTAATCCCAATTTCCACATGCTTACAGTGCATATCCCTTGGAGGTCAACCTGTTTGTGGGGGTTGTGCACATCACGTTCAGCAGAGCAGCTGAGCATCAGGTTTAGTGTCGCACAGATGAGAAAAGAAGTATTTTCTTACTGTCTGTAATTAAGTTCACAGCCTTGCGTCTGTGCTTGTATGCACACTCTGTACTGAGCCATTGACTGTAGATGCTCTAAGCACCATCCACACAACTGGTCTGTTTTCTATGATCAGACGTTTTCGAGGTCAAAAGCCTGTAAGTTCCAGCTATTATATGGACAGAGATTACAGGCAGTTAAAGATCAGGTGATCAGGTGATCAACTGGATTTAAATGTCCAGTGTAACTGCAGTTCAGGGGTGACCTAGGCAGTCCAGCAGGTATTAGAGTTCAGGCCACCCTTTAAACAGCACTTTATACAGCCTTGGAGCAGTTTCACTCAGACCGGTCAAGCAGCTTAGGCGTGATCTGAAAAGACAATAGCACCTCTGTAGCTGCAGGTTCGAAGACCAAGGGGGCCACTTACTGGGCTTCATTGTAACAGGTCATTGACCGAATTGATCAAAGCTCGCCTGCTCTCCAGGTCTTCAAAAGTCGATGATGGAAGGGTGACATGCTGGGCTGTGCTCCCCAGGACCAGGACCGGCTACCCCTGCTGTAGCTGATTTTTATTTAATGATACAGACCCAGCAGGAAACAGAATTGATAGAGAAACATTCTTCCTGAAATTCAGAAATCTAATCCCAGAGTTCCCACACCTGCCAAAACCACAACTGGTCCCAATCCTAGTGGGAGAGGGAGGAGGGAACTCAGTTGATCTGGCAGCCCAGTATGTGATCTCCTGTCACAGCCTGAGGAACAGTGAGTCTGTCTCCCAATAATGCTCCAGCCGCCTACAGTATATGTCAATATTTTATAATATGTCTTTGTTGTAAATGTCTGTAACATGTCTGTAGATTTTATTTTACTTCTATTTTTTGTTTTGTTCCATGTTAATTTTATTATTTTTATTTGCTTTGGCAGCACTGATTGTACCCATCGGTCATGCTAATAAAGCACCTTGAATTGAATTGAATTGAATAGTGCCCTCTGAAGGAATGTGCTGTAATTCTGAAAGTCTCCACCAGGGGGAGCCCTGTCATCGTCAGTGCTCACAGCTCACCTCCAGTCAGGCCAGGGTATTGCATTGTATCAAAGAAACACAAAACAGAAGCCTTCTTTACTTGTCAAGTCCAGTCTGTTGCTGTGTTATTTGTGCTGATTATTAGTTTGCATTTGGCAATCAAGAAAGCACATCTCCTGACCTCAGGCCGCCATGAAAAGAATGCAGTGGTTGTCTTTGAAGATGGTAGAGCACAGTGAAGTGGAGCTCTCAGCCTCCCTTGTTCTCTGCCCCTCCTCACAGCTCCACAATAAGTGTGCGTCCCATGTGAAGCCAGAGTGTGACGGGGGGCAGCTGAAGGACCACACCCTGCTCCCCTCCTGCATCTGTCCTGTGGTGCTGGTAAGAGTGCTCACCCCTCACCCCAGCTTGGCTTTCTAGAAGCAGGATCTCCCTGATCCAGCCCTGCAGTAGCCCGATAACCCTCTCCTCCTCCTCTCGCGCTCTCCCCCAGGAACGGCAGTCCAATGCAAAGCGCAGCGAGGGCGAGTCTCCCTCCAGCACCAGCCCAGATGACAACACCCAGAGCTTCAAGTTCACCGGAGACGGCCAGGGGCTGCAGGTAACAAGGGCGGGGCAGGCCTGGCCCAGCGAGCCTCCATGTCTCCCTGCTTCTGTGTGTCTGTCTACCTGTGTGTCAGTGTGAGGGGTCAGTGTGTCTGTGTGTCAGTGTGTCAGTGTGAGGGGTCTGTGTCAGTCTGTCTGTGTGAGGGGTCTGTGTCAGGGGTCTGTGTCTGTCTGTCAGTCTGTCTGTGTGAGGGGTCTGTGTCAATGTGTCTGTGTGAGGGGTCTGTGTCAGGGGTCTGTGTGAGGGGTCTGTGTCAGTGTGTCTGTGTCAGGGGTCTGTGTCAGGGGTCTGTGTCAGCATGTCTGTGTGAGGGGTCTGTGTCAGTCTGTCTGTGTGAGGGGTCTGTGTGAGGGGTCTGTGTCAGGGGTCTGTGTCAGGGGTCTGTGTCAGTGTGTCTGTGTCAGTGTGTCTGTGTCAGGGGTCTGTGTCAGTGTGTCTGTGTCAGTGTGTCTGTGTCAGGGGTCTGTGTCAGTGTGTCTG